AGAAGAAGTTTGTGAGAAGCCGTGATGTTATCTTCGTGGAGGATCAAACCATTGAAGATATTAACAAAGCAGAGAAGCTAAAATCTCCAAGTTCTGAAGGTTTAGTTAATCTTGATCAAATTCCTCATACAAATGCGGATGACGTTGGTGGGCTCAATGATGATGATGATGCCCAGAACCATATTCCAGATCAGCATATTGATGGTGATGGTGATAACAATGCTAATGTTGATGAGGTAGATGCTCCTACTCACGAAGCTGCAGAAGAGTTAGATATTCCACCTAAGGAGGTCTTTTAGACCCCGTACTTCTTCCTCCCGTTATTCACCCAATGAGTATGTATTACTCACTGATGGGGGAGAACCTGAATATTATGCGGAGGCCATAGAGGATGAGCACAAGGATCAATGGATTGAAGTCATGCAAGATGAGATGAAATCTCTGCATGAGAACCATACTTATGAGTTGGTGAAATTGCCTAAGGGCATGAGAGCTTTGAAAAACAAGTGGCTGTTCAAAGTTAAAGCTGAAGAACATACTTTGAAGCCCAGATACAAAGCTAGATTGGTTGTCAAGGGATTTAGTCAAAGGAAAGGTATTGACTTTGACGAAATATTTTCTCCTGTCGTGAAAATGTCCTCCATTCGGACAGTTCTTGGTTTGATTGCTAGTCTTGATTTGGAGATTGAGCAGATGGATGTGAAGACTACTTTTCTTCACGGTGACTTAGAAGAGGGGATTTATATGGAACAACCTGAGGGCTTCAAGGTAAAAGGTAAAGAAAATCTTGTATGCAAACTTAAGAAGAGTCTATACGGATTGAAGCAAGCTCCCAGACAGTGGTATAAGAAGTTTGAGTCTGTTATGGCGGAGCAAGGCTACAAAAAGACTTCTTCAGATCACTGTGTGTTTGTACAAAGATTTTCTGATGATGACTTTATCATCCTCTTGCTATATGTGGATGATATGTTGATTGTGGGCAGAAATGCTTCCAAGATTGACGAGTTGAAGAAACAGTTGAATAAGTCTTTTGCAATGAAAGACTTGGGTCATGCTAAGCAGATTTTGGGCATGAGAATTACTCGTTCGAGAACGAAAGGAAGCTTTACTTGTCACAAGAGAAGTACATAGAACGTGTACTGGAGCGCTTCAATATGAAAAGTGCTAAGTTGGTTCGCACACCCCTTCCTGGTCATCTGAAGTTGAGTAAGAAGATGTGTCCTACAACAACGGAGGAAAAAGAGAGAATGGCCAAGATTCCTTATTCCTCTGCCGTCGGAAGTTTGATGTATGCAATGGTATGCACTCGACCAGATATTGCTCATGCAGTCAGTGTTGTTAGCAGATTTCTCGAAAATCCAGGAAAAGAGCATTGGGAAGCTGTAAAGTGGATACTCAGGTATCTAAGAGGAAGCTCACATGAATGCTTATGTTTTGGAGGATCAAATCCAATTTTGAAGGGCTATACAGATTCTGATATGGCAGGTGACCTTGATAACAGAAAATCCACTACTGGATATTTGTTTACTTTTTCAGGGGGAGCTATATCATGGCAGTCAAAGTTACAGAAGTGTGTAGCACTGTCTACAACTGAAGCGGAGTATATTGCGGCTACTGAAGCTGGTAAAGAGATGATATGGCTCAAGAGATTTCTTCAAGAACTTGGATTGCGACAGATGGAGTATGTTGTCTATTGCGACAGTCAGAGTGCAATAGACCTAAGCAAAAACTCCATGTACCATGCAAGAACAAAGCATATAGATGTGAGATATCATTGGATTCGTGAGCAGGTGGAGAACGAATCTTTACAGGTCAAAAAGATTCACACGAGTGAAAATCCTGCTGATATGCTAACCAAAGTGGTACCAAGAGACAAGTTCGAGCTATGCAAAGAACTTGTCGGCATGCACTCAGACTAGAAGACATTGCTACCTTCTCTAGATGAATGAGACTGGAGGGGGAGATTGATATGGTGTCCATCTCATTCAAATGGTTTGGTAGCCAATATTGTTGACTTGGTTTGGCTTGGTAGCCAACCTTGTTGAATTAGACAAATATTGGTAGCCAATTTTATTGACTTGGTTTGGTTTGGTAGCCAACCTTGTTGAAATTGTGTAAAGGGTGTGCAAATTGTCAAATATTGTAGGCTTTAGAGAGTGAGGTTTTGGCTATAAAAGGAGAGCTCCAACTCTCATTTTTACACACCAAAAAAGAGAGAAAAGAGAGAGAGCAAGGTATTCCATAAACTATAAGAAAATAGTTTGTGAAGAAAAATAGAGTGTGAGAGATATTGTAGTGAGGTAAAAAAGCAAAAGAGTGTTTACTTCTTTTGAGGGTGTAGTGGTCTTAGGAGTATTTTTCTCGTTACTACACAGTGTAAAATCCTCGCTATAGTGATATCAGTTGCTCTTCTTGGCCGTGATTTTTTCCCTTATTCAGAAGGGTTTTCACGTAAAATCTTGGTGTCATTTTTGCTGCATTTTTATTCTTGCTGATTTAACTATAACTTAATGTTTCGCGTTTATCACTAATACCGTGAATATTATTTTTACGGGGTTTATTCCCAACAGGTTCTGAGCTCATTTTCCGTTTTTCTTGTTTCTTCAGGTATGGAACTGAATTCTATGTACTTAACAAGTATCCACAGGCTGTTCGTCCATTCTATACCATCTTACAGTAATTCTTTTCATGTCTTTATCAGAGGTATTTAAATTTACGAGATTCTTAATATTGTGACCAGATTGAATTTTTTTCTTTGATGAGGTAAGATGTGACTATTTTATAAAATTTAAAATGCACAAGTAGCTGCCAGATATGGATATTGTGACCAGATGGATGTTTAATTTTTTAGAGAAGTATGGTGTGTTAAGGTCGTCCTCTTCATCAATATCCAAAAAAGGGAACAGGTTTCATCATTTTCAAAATTTTCTCTAGTTTTCATTGCTGTGGTCAGGAATCAGCTTTACTTGACAGTTAATCTAAGTTGGAATTTTTTTTAGTTCTGTACTTGTCTCTCATTTTGTTGGTTAGGGACAAGCTTCTTTATCTTGAAAAAAGGGAATGTGCTGACATGAGTTATATGCTATATTCCCTCCTAGTTGCTGGAGTGTGCTTTTATTGACCTATCGCATTGGGGGAACACTCCCCTTCCTTGCAAACCTTTCTGCTTTGGTTTATGGAGTCCTACATTGCTTGAAGGAAACTGATATTAACATGTTTGCTGCTAAGTTGCTATGACACAGCAGTTTAGGTGCCGTACTCGTGTCGATACAATACTAGTATGAGTGTGAGTATGGGATCTGCACTGGATCTGGTCAAACAATGTTGGGTACGTTGACCATGACGAATGAAAAAATTTGAGACGAGATATGTTTACCCTAAAATCGGATAACAATTGAATTTATACGCGGTTTTAAGGATACGTCATATAACTTGGTACATATTGAGGAGAATAAATTCAGTACTGAAATAGACGATAAAAGAATAAATGCAAACCACACGAATTGAACAGCCTTGGCCCTCGAGTTCAGTCACCCTTGAACCAAATATGTTTCAACTTGCTTATGAACAGAATAACAAGATAATGAAAGCTAGAAATGACAGTGTATTGCTTAGTATTGCGTGAATATGATGTCTTTTACAAATTATCAGATCCCCTTTATATAGTAGGGGAGTCCTACCCTTGATACAATGCTAAATACAGTAAGAAATCTCCTGATTAGCTAATTAATCGATCTCCGAGGGTCTTTCGGAAACAACCTCTCTACTCCTTCGGGGTAGGGGTAAGGTCTGCGTACACACTACCCTCCCCAGACCCATTAGTGATTTTACTAGGTTGTTGTTGTTGTTGTTGTTGTTGTATTTCCGCCGTGATCCTTGTCCGATTTTCGACTTTCCGTTATTTGGCTTGGTAAACTTCCCTAGATCTCGCTCGATCCTTTTCTCGCTTGGTCTCGATCTTGATCGGTCTCTGGGTCACGAGCTCAGTAATCTAATTTTGCTTCATGGTTCGATATAATACGAGGTTGAACCTTGGTTTATCGCGTTCTAGTCTCGATCAGTCATATAAAAAGGGCAAGCCTGATTTTGACCGTATACAAGATATAATTTGACTCCCGTAACCGAACCAAAACTAGGGTAAATTTGAAGAAAATAGCATACCTTATCTAGGAAATCAATCTTTTACGTATCTACAACTTGAGAATAAAAATAAAATTCACACTTTACAAGCTATACGTATGTATTCCACAAAATTTCTCATAATTTAGAGATATTTTTATATTTTTATTTTTTTGAACTATTTTTAGCCGGATCTCGCACCCGTTTCCGTACTAGGATCCATATCCCCGAATCTTAGAATTTACATTTCGAAGGATCCAACCTCTAGATCCGCATCCGTGTCGGACACCCTCACCCGAGTCCGAGCAACTTAGGTTTGCTAACATCCCCCAAGGAAATGGTTTCAACATATTTGCTGACATCCCCTCTCTCTGTTAATGAGTCTTTCTTTTAGTTATAACTAATGTGACATTCCTCCGCTTTCTCAATTGTTCAAGTATTCCAAATTGACAGGAAGAGTTGTTCAAGTATTCCAAGTTGAATGGCAGAATGGCAAAATGACAGTAAGAGAAATATACAGATGGTCGTAAAATATTTCTATCCTTTGTTATTTCTGATCTCAATGAAAGGAAATTGAATTGAAATACTGTACAAACAATTAAGCAATAGTCGGACAAATATGTGGAAAACAAAATTTAAACCCTGAGACAGAACAAAATTGAAAGGTTCAAACTTCAAACAGACGCTGAAGTTCAGGGATTAGCGACTTTATCTTCTGTTCCATGGTCGTATCACTCCAACCTGAGATACCAAATAAATATTGAACCAATTGAATAATTCAAACTGAAACGATGACTGATTTTAAAACTTCTACGTCTGATAGTTTATTCAAAAATTACAAATCAGAGTAAACGTTGTTAGGTCAAAACACTAAGAATAAATAGGGAATAATTGGTCCTTTAGACCTGTTCTACACTAATAAGTAGATGCCTTTCACTTAAAAAATACAGCAATTAATTTCACCATTGAGCAATGTGTAGACTACTGCCACATCTCTAACTACACCACAAGTGAAACACACAGATGACTTTATAGATGTCTAATTCTAGTAAACGGTATCCTGCTGCTTGTTTATTTCAAATGATGAAATTCTTATCCATATAGACATCATTGCCAATGACGCAATTAAGCCCGTTTAGTCTATGACAATAATTGTCATCATTATGAACTATCCAAAACTTAAAAAGAGTTGACCAGAAGTCACACTTTTAACCACAGGCCAACACTGTCTAAAAAGGAAGAGCTAGCTAGGTCCTACTTGAATAGAGAGAACAGATATGGGCAACCTCAAGGCCATTATTTAGCCTGGGGGTGAGATGCAATGAAATCAACAGCCAGATTAATGGAGCTGATCTTGTCAGCTTCATTGTCAGGAATCTCGAATGCAAACTCTTCTTCAAGGGCCATCACTATTTCCACAGTGTCTAAACTATCTAAGCCAAGGTCATTCTGGAAGTGAGCATTTGGAGTAACCTGCAGGTGTAAATAGCATTCTGTAAGTGTTATAGTATAGAGAATGTTATAATCTGCGCGCAACTGAAACCACTCCCAAGATTAACTAGGATAAAATAAAAAGTACACCATGATATGGTTGGGTTATAGTAATCTCATAATGAGCAAATTGAGCTATACAACTTCAAACCTAAGCATGAGTAAATCAAAGGGGTACAGAATATAATGTCAAGATCTGACCTATAGGCTATAACTACTGAATCAACCAAATTCCTTACACAGAAATAGTTGCTATGGTAAATGTCAACAAATTCATTACATGGGTGAACAGAAACGGGTAAGATCTTATTCTAAGCAGAAAGAGAAGAGATGCTGCAGAGATTTTTACTTCCTTACTGTTCTCTTAGAGGAATATGTACCAACACTTCTTGTTTTCGATCTACAAGCTCTGAGTAACTGAAATGGGAAATTTTTTCCAATTTGTAAGAAAACATAATCGGAAACCATTCTGCAACAAGGTGAATCAGAATACTTCCATATAAATTCAGCACATATGAGATGTCCCTGTGGCATCTCTGATACACATCCTAGAATCCCAGGTAAATGATGTTAAAAACTACCAAAACATTACATAGCATGCCGCCAAAAAAGTTACACAAAATCTTTTCCAATTCATATACTACAAAGTGCTGCACTTCAGGCTAATATAAAGACATGACTCTTTTACCAGGTCTTCTCCATCTTACAGGTACTGAGTAATTCGATGCTATTCCCTTGACAAGCCAGCAAACAAAGCTTTTTGGTTGTTCTCTCCTTCACAATCCTTCTTCTAATTCCAAAGAGCTAGGAGACAAACTACAAGATTGTACACATGAAAAGAGTTCAAATATGGGATGGAGGAATGGGCGTTGCTTTGACTCTGGCAAATTTGGGAATTTAGGCACAACACTTATGATGTGGGATGAAGAAAGATGCATCTTCAAATCTCAAGGCTTATACCTAAAATTAGTGTTCAAATTGTAGAAAACGGGCATGCTGAAAATTGAGGCATCATAGGATTTCTCTCATTTCTCTAACATATTATCAGCATTTCAGCTCTCTCTGCTACATTCCTTACATAATTTTGACTTAATTCCATTTTCTCCTCCTTTCTTCATAAATTACGTTACTGCTCTACTTCCTCTACGCACTTCCAAACAACTCTACTGTCGTTCTCCATCTAAAAAAATTAATTAACCAATCAATCAACTTCGCCGCAACACTAATAGTTGTGTTGACTATATGAAGCCCATATAAATCATTCTACTCTACTCAGCCTCATTTCATCATGTGATTAGGTAGGTACTTCCCAATGACTTGGAACTCATCATAATTCAACATTTTTTGTTGCTATCCATTCACCAACCACAACTTTCCTTTATATATGTCCCAACTATGCGAAGCTCAAATGGATAGTGTTTTTTTTTGCTAATTCCCGCGGAAAAAATCACATGGAGAGCCCAACATGTGGCGCATGAGTTAGGCACACATCACGTCTTCGAACCTGACTACAAACAAATTTTTTTATCAAAAGCCTATAGTTAAGTGGAGAAGGCTAGAGGGATGGGGCCATCATCCACCGAGTTTCGAACCGTGTGCCACTGACCCTCATAGATTTCTCAGTCGTAAAAAACTGCTCGTAGTAGATTCATTTATAGATCAAAAGGAAACATCAGCTCGCTACAAATCCAAAGGACCAGCAACCACGCAAATAGACAATACATAAGCATCCAAGGACCAATGTAGGAAACTCATAAAAGAGAGTCTAAAACAAGCCTTCCACATGCCTAAAACGGATTTAACCAACAAAAAAAAAACAAATAACATGCGTAAAAATGTCTTAAAAGATAATTGCAGGTAACTCTATTTAGTAATATTGATCGGTAACCTAGAACAAACCGTAAGTAACCAGCTATAATAGGTTAAACCGGTGGTGGATGTAGTTTTTTGGCTACGGGTTCAGATGAACCTAGAACTTTCGACAAAGAATACAGATATATATGTAAAACCTACTAAAATCTCAATAAATGTTAGATCTGAACACATAATTTTAACAATATAATGAGTTCAGTGCAGGTTGAACCCATTAAGTTTAAATTCTAGATACTCCTCTGGGTTAAACACACTGACGATCATCATATTGCAAGTGTATATAACTTAAATCCTAGATAATTGTAAGTAACCTGTTATAATAGGTTAAATACACTGACGGTGTAAAAAATCATCACAGTGTCAGTCATAAAGCGGATACATGATTTAAACTCTATGATTCAACCTTTAAAGTTCTTATCATTGAATCCATTATATTTTTAAAGTTATGGTTTCATATATATTATTTGTTTAGTAGATTATTACACATAAATTTATACTCAAGTCCAAAGTTATGGGTTATAATGCTATATCCGCCCCTACTGTCAGTGTATATAACTAAAATCCTAAACATTTTATACGACAAATTACCGTAGCCATAAATCTCACATTTATACAAGTAATAACTAAACGACTGACGAGGCAAAGATACTAGAACTTAAGGGACTAACATTTAAAAAAAACTAAAAAGAGAAATGTTGAGGGAGAACCTTGGAAGGGTCGAGTTTGGGGAAGTTCTTGACACAGTTAATGACACGATCGGCGACTTCAGATTTGTCGAGAAATGAGCCCCTAACCTCCTCCGAGAAGTGACGTTTGAACAGCTGAGTGAATGAGCCTCCGATGAGTCTAGGGTTTTGGAGTTGTGGAAGACGAGCTTCCACTCTCATGTACTTCAACAATGCATTCCTCGCCGCCATTGAAATTGAAGTTATCGAAATGACAAAGAGTTTTCGGCGGGGGTGTGAATAGGCAAAAGTCTCAAAGAGCTGTCAAAAACCGGTTCTGGAAATGGAGTTTTGGGGTTGGGAATTAGACGTTTTGCAACTCTAGCCTAATTTTAAGTTTTGGTCCAAATGTAACAAACTTTTCAACTAATAAGGCAGAATGGCCTAAATCGCACCTGTACTTATGCCACTTTGACATGCCGGTCCCCAAACTTAGATAATTACCAGTTGAACACTTATACTCATTCAAACAGTGAATAATAAACGCTTATGACAGGAGGTTGTCAGTGCGTGTAATACAATCTCCCACACGTAGGACGCCACGTCAATAAAATGAAACCACGTAGGCTCCAAGTCACTTATTATGGCCACATAGGATAAAAAAACGGGAAAGGATTATTTACCCCCCCCCCCCCCCC